TAAATGGATTAATTTGGCCACTGCTTACCCTGTCATATCATTATAAACCTGGTTTTTATAGCCAATTGAGCCAAGGGAAAACACAAACAAACTTAAGAAAAAATATAAAATGAAAAAAGTTGAGGGAGGAAAAAATAACAGGGCTTCAATGTTGATTTAACATAAAATCCTAATTTGGTTCTGGCTGGATGATAAATGCAGATTCTATCGGTAGTGCTTGCGGTGACCAAAAATCTAATTCATAAGATTTCAAGCGGTGTCGCTCCAAGACGCAGTTAACGAGGTGTTTGGGGCTATTTTGCAGATCAAGACTGAAATATGACTAAACTTTACCGACTAAAGTTGACCGTTTACATGAATCTTTAATCTTGCAAGCAATCCACGAACCACATATCACGATCAATCTCACAATCAGTCAATCAATCAATCCAACGATCGTAAACTGAAACAATAATGCAACAAAGTTCTATCAATCTAACGAAATGTTACGAAATACATGATAAAAAATCGAGTGTAAAAAGCTGGGCCTTAACGCCGATAACGATATTAAAATAATAATAAACAATACAAATAAACCAATACAGACTACGTTAAAGTACAAAAATTCACAAGAATTTGGTAGCTAGTAACAGCCTATCGTCCTTATCTAAATGGTGGCTGGTGCATTGAAGACAATTCTGGCCTTTAAAATCTCGAATCACTTGAAAATACATCACTACAACAAAATATCTGTTTGAATACTTTCACCCAATGCTGGAAAACTAAACTTAGAAAAACAAAGTAACAAAAGTACTCACATATCGGTCCCGCTTGTGCCAAAGGTATAAAACGAAAAGACGAAAGTTCACTAAGACTGATAACAAAGTTGCGCAGAACTGATTACAGGGACGCTAAACTCGCTTTTATGTGCGTGTGATGACACTGAAAGGTCCGATTACAAAAACAATAGAAACATAAACAGATACACATTGTAACCATGTTTGTATCTAGGATAATAGAAATAACTAAACTAATCAATAATCAATTAAATAAAAATGAGCCTTCTGGCGAGTGTCCTTAACACTATCATCCCAATACTCTCTCCAAATGTTGAAAATTCCCATAAGGGTTTTTTCCTGCTCTGAACCAGCTATATTGACCAATTTTCCTTCAACACTTTGAACAAAAACTTGTTGAAGGACTGCAAATTAAAAGAACTACAAACCATGAAATGAGTTTCTGTGAAAGGAGCCTTTGCATCCATGTATGTCAGTTTTACATGAAGGAAGAGTATCGCCATGTCCTTAGAGTAACTGCAAACTTTTCACTCTGTTACAGTACTTAAACAATTTGTTCTCAGCTGCTGTGAATTCAACTACACTGTGAAAGATTCTTTCTTTTTTCGAGTGGATGGCATTGTTCAAATACAAGATAATTTTTACTCTCTTGTGAAATAAAATTGCACCTTGTCAACTTGGCTCTGCTGTCTGATTTTGGCATTGATGAAATGTTGACACAAATATATCTATTCCCAAACTGGGCTGCTTCCTGATAAATTGGATTACAGGGGCTAAGAATCAAAATAATACACTTATGGTACTCTCGAATTATACTCGAACAAAGGCAAAGAGCGTTTAATTATTAAATTGTCTGCACACCTACTGAGAGCAATTCAAGAGGAGATATTAGTAGAAGGTAAACATGATTGTCTCGAACTGATTTCGTGAAAGGGGTTTCTCCTTCATTACCACTGAAAGCAACCGTAACATTCGCTTGCTAATCAAATAACACAAATTCCACAGACGATACCCAACTAAAGACAACTGGCCCACGATTGTCTTGGACAATTGGCGCTTAATACGGTGCTGATTAATACAGGTTCATAGACAGGCTTAATTTGTTGCCTAAATACCCCGCTAGCTCTCTCACTTTGTAAGCATCCTGTTCTTGATTTTCTTGATCATCTGTGAAATACAAATTCAACTAATTTACATTGATTCCTGATGAACTGATTTCGTGAAAGGAGTTTCCCCTCATTACCATTACAAGAAAATATAACACTCGCTTGCTAACTCACACAAATTCCACAGACGATTCCCAGCCAAAGACAATTGGCTATAAACCAATTTCTCGCCTGGGGGGGGGATGAAATGAGGATGAAATATTAGAATATTAGAACCATGAATCATTGCATACAGGAATTTTCTATAGATTTCTTGTAATGAATAATCAAATAAAGTAGCCTAAACATTGTAAAAATCTGTTTAAATCTCTTCTTTTTGCTTCAAATCTTTCTTCATTTTTGCTTCGACTTTGGCAACGGTCTCGTAGTTGAGTGCCTGAGTAACTTCGTTAGTTGTCCATTGTATAACCTTCTGTAAAGATGCAATGAGAAGGAAAACTAGCTTTTGAGAAGACCCACACAATCAGGAGACACCAAGACTCTTAGTTCTCTTCTTCTTTATCACATTTTCTAGATCTATAACTGAGCAAATTGACTCTCTCTCTCTAAAGCACCTTATTATTATGTGCTGACTGTCTTTGCAGAGTTTAACCCCTTGTTCAAAATTTTGACCCGGTCAAATGCATTTTTTATACAAGTTCTCTAAACACATCCAAACATGACCACCGACGAACGTCTTTGTTCGAGAAACAAGCCTCAAAAATAGAGTCAGCACAAACTATTGTTAATGTTAAAATTACGAGTTCGACCTTGCGGGCTTCTGAACTTGATAAGACTCGCACAATGACTATACAATAATTAGCTAAAAATTTTACTATTGAAATTGAAAAAACTCAAAATAAAGTACTCAACACGACCAGACCAGTTCAGAAACAAAAATCCATGTTCAAGTAATCGAACAACTAAAAGAGAAAGACAACAGTGAAACCTATTGTAAGGGGGTAAGACTGGCACAATCTTTGCATGCTTACCTTAAAAAACCTTGCATCGTAATAGCGCTTCACAACACTTTCTTTTTCCATAGAGGCCTTTTAAAAGGGAGGTCGCATCCAAAATATCCCTGTATTGACTTATTACAATTCAA